ATGTAGTTGATAAGGGAGTAATAGCTAGACTATATAAAGAACTTCTACAACTGAACAACAAAACAACCTGATTCAAAAATAAGCAAAGTACTTTAATAGGCATTTCTCCAAAGAAGATATATAAATGGTCAATCAGCACATGAAAATATATTCAGCATCATTAGTCATTTGGGAAATGCAAATCAAAACCACAATGAGATAGCACTTCACACCCAATAGGATGGCTGTTAATCTGTTAATTTTTTTCTTTTTTTTAAATTGAGGTAAAATACATATAATTTACCATCTTTACCATTTTTAAGTGTATAGTTAAGTGGTAATAAATATATTTATATTCCTTTTTTTCTCCTTCATGCCCCCATCTTCCACCCCTTCCCCGACTCTGGTAACCACCAGTCTTCTCTCTGCCTTTGTGAAATCTGCTTTTTTAGCTCCCATGTAGAGTGAGAACATGCAATACTTGTCTTTCTGTGCTTGGCTTATTTCACTTGTAAAGGCTCCAGTTCCGTCCATATTACTACAAATGACAGGATTTGTTTTTTTCTTTTTGGCTAAATAATGTTCCATTGTGTATATATGCCAAATTTGGCTGCTAATTTTAAGAAGAAAAAGAAAGAAAATAATCAGTGTTGGAAAGATGTGGAGAAATTAGAACCCTTCATGCATCACAGATGGGAATGTAAAATGGTACAGCTGCAAGTTTGGTGGTTTCTCAAAAAGTTAAGCATAGAGCAATCATATGATCCAGCGATTTCACTCCTAGGTATACACCTGAAGAATTGAAAGCAGAGACTTAAACAGATATTGTACACCACTGTTCATAGCAGCATTATTGACAATAGCCAAAATGTGGCAATAGCCCAAGTGTCCATCAACATAAATGTATTAAAAAATGTGGTATATACATACAATGAATGTATTCATTCATAAAAAGAAATAAAATTCTGACATGTGCTACAACATGGAAGAGCTTTGAAGACAGTATGCAAAGTGAAATAAACCAGACATGAAAGGACTTGGTATTGTATGATTCTGCTTATATGAGGTATCTAGAATAGGCACATTTTTAGAGACAGAAAGTAGAATAGAGGTTACCAGGGACTGGGGGAAGAGGGAAATGGGGTTATTGTTTAATGGGTACAGAGTTTCTGTATAGGATGATTTTAAAAGTTCTAAAATAGATATTGGTGATGGTTGCAGAACATTGTGAATATACTTAATGCCACTGAATTGTGCACTTTAAAATGGTTAAAATGGTAATTTTTGTGTTAGGTATGTTGTACCAAAGTAAACAATTAAAGCAAAGTAACCAACCACACGACAACTAAATAGATTTACCGAGTTACAGTTTTTCACTATCTTTTTTCTTCACAGATTTTTCCTGATTTGTTACTGAAGCACCTGTATATCTTTAAATTGTATGAATGCTTATTAGATTTTTAAGATTATTGCTACTGGGTTTGTATTGCCTTTGAATTACAAATGGTGTGGTTTTTTAACATTATAATTATGGCAAAATTTTTTAATGGATCTCCTTTGTTTTGCAGTTACTTCGAGAGCTTAAGCATCCAAACGTCATCTCTCTTCAGAAAGTGTTTCTGTCTCATGCTGATAGGAAAGTGTGGCTTCTTTTTGACTACGCTGAACATGACCTCTGGGTAAGGTGACTTGCTGGTAAACATGAGCCACTGGTTTCAGTTAGGGATTGCTAAGGAT